TCTGATAACATGTAATATTTTATATAATCATATAAAATTGCATATGTTACCAGATCTTTTCATAACTAATTATATATATTTACATCTAAATTATATATATTTACATCAATTATACCATTTTTTCTCGGGTTTGTCTTTCCTTCTGTATAAAACAGTTCAGTAATTGAAACAATTCCGATCTATTCTATAAAAATGTATTCTAAAAAAATCAAGTTTACAAAATTAAAGGCAATGCATGTCTTTCGAAATAAAATTTGAATGCAATGTGCTTTTAATTGGAATAATAATTATTCAGATCTATAGCGGACGTACTGTTATGCGTGATGACCATAATTGCATAAAGAGCGCACCGCCACATGCGGTTGATTAATGCAAGCGACGATAGTGCAAGTGCAAGTGCGAAAGATGGAAACAACCTTTCGTCGAGAAGTCTCGAGTGTGTTCTCGTTTTGCTCGCCATACGCATATCCCGATGAGACTCATCTACGATAATAAAAGCATGATTGCGCGCTTCTTGAATTTTCAATTGCACAGTTAATGCGCGACAAGATATCTCTAAAGAGATTAATTTGTTTTGCCACTTTTATTTTTTATATGCAACTTGTGCACATTTGCAGTGTTACGCACGAGTATGCACATGGCGTTTAATCATTATTAAATTACTCATAAAGCTCATTTTTTAATTAAAAAAACACAACTAATACTAATATTAAACATTTTGTTTCATATATAAGTATTAATTTCATTGCCAGAAAAATATATTTTCCAAAAAAACGTTAAAAAATAATACAAAAATAAAATAAAAAGTTTGATGCAAAAAATATGCAATTATATTAACTATAAATACGTGGTGAAAAATTCTTAGTTATTCGAAATTCTTAACCAACCTTTTACAACTGTGTATATATCGCGTGTATCTATATTGGAGAATCTGCTGGTAAATAATCGAAGAACCGCAATACGTTTATGGTTGATTACCCAGTGATATTTTAAGCAACAATTTACGATGCATGAAGAGACATGCATTATATGACGGGGGTAAATTTCAAAGTTCATTACTAAACCAGCCCTTCAAGCTATAAAGTGGATAATACACGTTTGGCTATGAGCGCACTTTCAGTTTGCAAATTACATATCAGAGATTATAATCACAATTTGTAATTCATAGCCATAGCAATACTTACTGCATTCTTAACAAGCAGTACGTCACGATAAGATATGAACAATGTTTTCTATGCATCATATACAACGACCGACTGCACATTGTGTTTAACATTTTAACATTTACAGATAAACTTGATGTTTACATATCGCGAGTACACATCGCAAAATTTGTCTCATTACAATTTCTTAGCTGGAATCTATTATACTAAGTGTGCTTGTCAAATATTTTCTAACGATAGATATTTTTAAAAAAGGTAACGCACAACAGCGTTACTTACTTCCACCAGCATACTAATTCTATATAAATACTAACGCCAATCTTTAATAAGTTACATTGTCACTTTGTAATTATTTTGCATACTGCCATTGTGAAATATCTCCACGGGTGTCTTTTGCATTAAACGAACTTTTATTCCGAGTTCGTGTTAATTCAAAGAAATCTCGTGTTAATCGCACCCGCGGCTTAAGACAAGACACAAAAAAGCGAAAAGCACTAGGTGCACGCTGGTAGTTAAACCGTTACCAAGGACCGCGGCGTTCCGTAAAGTCCGCGCGTATATTTATCTGCACGCAGGCGACTGATTTATTATAACTACGATAAACGCGAGTAATCGCGACCTAATCGACCGGTAATTAACTTCAAGTTTCCAATTAACGGAGTAAGCTACGATCGTATTTTTCGCCGCGATCTCCGACAAACCCAATTAGTCATTACTCCCCGATGCGCACTTTACGTTTTACGTTTGATACTTTGCACCTATATCAATACAGCTGATAGAAAAATGAATAAATTTTATATAAAATAATGAGATTTTTCAAATAATTTTGATATCGTAGTCGTTCATATCACGTTATATTTATTCAAATTTAAATATTTAAATTTCGACAGTGTGATTGCACTTTCCGACGGTGCGTGAGCCGCATGATTTTTCCTCGTAATCAGTCGTTTACGTGAACTAACAAGTTGTCAAAATGTTAAATTTAATATCAACAAAAGAAATAGGCTAAAAGTGTATTTTGTTATAAAGCCGTATATGTTCAATATTCAAAATATCTATAGATGTTTCAGATAAAATAATAGATAATAAGTGACTTTGCTTTGATTTGTGTTATCAACTAAAGCTTATGTTGGTATTTTGTAACAATTTAGATTATCGTAAAAATTTCAGATAAAATATTTCAGATAAAAATATTTAATATAATTTGAATAACTCGAATATTTGATAAAAGAAATAAAATATTAAGGTAGTTGTCTCATAAAATAAATTTCTTACAAATTAATCCAAATTTTCACTACATCTTTATTGAACTAATATCTAAGTATTGTATATCTAAGTCTTGCAATAAAAAAATTTACCATTTTTCAGAAGCTGAGATAATTGTAATTATAATTAGTACTTTTAACACGTGTTGCATACACCATACTAAGATTAACGTCATATTTTTAATTTTTAATTATCTTGAAAACTATATTTAAGACTTTAATGAAAAATAATGAGCATGCAGAAGACAAGTATATGAACATTAAAAAAAAACACCATTATTGACCGTTTAGTTTCAACAATATAATCGTAAGAAGTATATAATTTTTAATATTTTTTGATGTATAAAAAATTTGAGCAGTAGGATGTGACTCACGATATACAATTCTTACATGTGTAGTATGGATAATCTCAACCAAAAGTTTACTCTAGCAAGCGCAAGAAATTAAATTATTAATTACTTTTAAATTATTATTAAACTTCCGATTGATTCTTTTTAGTAATAAATTGTTCGTATAATAAATTAAATAATACGTAATAATATATCTAAATTTTATTATTTGAGTTTTTCTTTTTAATGAAAGATTTAACTTTTAGATCATACTGTCGCAAAACAACTATCTTAATAAATTTGTATTTTTCTAAATCGATTTAACTTTTCAAATCATAATATTATAAAATTTTACGTTTAAAAAATTAGTCAATTCTAAAAAATTATTTATTTAATAATAATAAAACAATCTATTTAAACGTTAAATCTTGCAATATTATGATTTGAAGAATCAAATAAGTTTAGAAAAACAATCTCTCTGAAAAAAAATCCACTTCTTTATAAAAATTATCCCATTTAAACACCCTGAGTGTCCATCCAATAACGCATTCAGGATATTTTTTTCGGGGGGGGGGGGGAGGAGGGGGGGGGTTTAAAATTCTCACACACAAAATGAAATAGTATGACCAAAAGTTAGGATAATTTTATACTGCACACTAAAAAATATAAAAATGTTACATCGTTTAATAAAAAATACAATTTATTTTTATAGTAGCATAATTATAAATTAATATCGAGTTTTCTTGGTTTTTCTTAAATAATCAGATTAACTGGATTGCTTAAATAATCAAAAAATTTGTCTATATATACAATATATTGTATGTATGTATATAGACAAATATATATACATGTATATATACATATGGCTGCTAGATGTTTCTTAAGTAACTTATTTAAATCCTTTCACAATATAAATATCTTAAAGTAGATATTATATACATTCAAACAGCAGTATATCTGGAAAAGCTATCATAATTATTTGTGTGCAAGTATATTGGCGTGAATTTTGAATTATTAAAATTGTGACTGTAGTTAATAACAGACAAAAAATACAAATGTTTGAACTACATTTCATTTAATTACAGATTTTCTACTTTTTGCTGTTAAGTTAATAAAAAAATAAGGTATATTAATTAAATTTCGGAAGGGGGGGAGGGTTAACTCCCCCTCCCCCCCTATGGGTGCGCCACTGAGCCCACCGATATATGCTTTAAATGCGATAAAAGGAGCATTCTGCTAATAATGAGAATTGTATCAAACTATGACTGATCAAAAGACACGCATACACGTACGGAGTGATCTGTGTGTGGAAAAAAGCTTGCAAGCGAACGAGCCAAAAAGCTTTAGAAACGGGGTAGTCCATAAGTCAGACTCGAAGCGGCACGGATACCCCGAAGATACCTGTGAGGAACGACCCGGCAAGCCTCCTTATCCTCGTTCGATCTGGTCGGACATTATAGGCGCGACAAGGTGGAAAGGAGACGCCAACACCGATCGTCGAAAAGGGTAAAGAGAGATAAAGAGGGAGCGCGCTAAAGAAAGAGAAACACACAAGCGCGCGAGGAGAGAAAGAGAGAAAAAGGGGGTGGCGGAGAGAGAGAGAGATTTTATGAAAATCGATTCTGGGGTGGATGTGCGTGGTCGCCGCCTCCTCAGCTGCAGTTTCCACGTGGGCGTTATTCGCTCCGCCCCGAAGAGAGAACGCGATCAGATCTGGAGAACCGCCTTAGCCCGATCGCGGACGTTACCGTCATTCCCTCCCCGGACTGTGTCTGGCCTCGTCTGTCCGCCCCCCCCCCCTCCAATTACCGCGGCTAGCCATCCCTTCCTGGTGGAGTCCGATCCTACTCGACGACGGTGGCGACTCCGTCCTACCTCCCGCGCCGCGGCTTCTCCCCGTCCCGCGGCGAGAAGCAAGAAAGTGACCCTACCGGGACAGTTTCAGAGACGCAGTCACCGGCTGCACCACGTCTTGGAGGTAGTGTCCCGTGTCACCTCACATACACAAACACCGGCGCGAATGCGAATCCGCTAGATCGCGCAGATCGTCCGTGATCCCTGAGCAGTCAAAGGAGTCAACCGGGCGATGGACTGAAATGAATCGAGACGGATCCTGCAATTGATGAATTGATCCTGGAAGCTCCGATCACTACTGAGCTGACGGTGAATGAAAGTGACGATATGTTCCTGGATTGTGGAGGAGGTGTAATCACGGAGCTTTTGTGACGAACGTGGTGGACAGTGAAGTACGCTTCGCAGAAATTAAACAGTGCACTCGGAAGTGCCTAAAGTGTTCTACTACTTGTTGAAGAATAGTTTATATTATGTACTAAAGTATTGACTATATATGCAATCGGCGATTTTTCGAGAGAATTAAATTATTACTTAAAATAGAAGCGATTTTACAAATATTAACAGGACACATCAGTTTGAATCTTAGCTATATGACTTAAAAATAAAAATTCTGATTATTTGTGATATCGTGTTTATCAAAAAGAGAAAAGAAAATTGTAAAAATTCTAAAGATTCCTCGCAAATGGATTTTCCGCGTAAGATATAACGCAGTTTTCGTGAAGTGCGTGGCAAAATTCAGGCATGCGGAAGAATGAGCAAACAAAAAAATATTTGGGACTAATAGTAATCTCAGACAAGCAGGTAAAGGACAACGGTGTTTGAATACAGTTGATGCGTCACCAAATCTTCAAGGATTGACCTGTTTTTCTTTCCCCCGGACCCAGACCCAGAGAGATGAGCAGAGAGATAGCTGAAATAAAATACTGAAAGATATTGATTAAGAAACACTGATGTATAAAGTATTTTGTAAATCATCGTTTTTGATAGATTGAAATAAAAATTTCGCACGGTAAGATATAAATTGATTGCAACTTCTTGAATGCTACTGAGTTCGACGATTAATATCGTTGGCAAATATTTTTTTACGAACGAAAATATTACTTTAATTAATAAAGCATAGAAAAAAGGAAAAAGTGAGAAGTGGCGCAAAGTTGTGCGCGATTATTAATTAGACATAAAGTGCCGAAAAGAAGATCGTAGAATCATATTTCCTACTACGAAGATTTTCTGGCAGAATAATTTTCCCCGAGACGAGAATGTTAGGCACTGACTGATAACACGTGAGTATGATATTTCGTTCAGAAAGAACATTTTTTAAATATAACGCAAATTTTAACCCTTTGCTGAAATTGCTGGAATCGAGGAAAGACGTTTACTGAGGCGATGTTATTTGGAATAATTATTGCCAATTGAATAAAATAATATATATCGCCAATTTGTTTCAGAGTAAAATTGCTTCTGCGGTTTAACAATGGTTGTCATTCCGCGTACGATAAACTTTCAAATATTATCAAATCGCGATCATAAATTTGATATTAATTTCTATAGCCGAGCGAAGATAATTAACGCGATCGGAAATGTCGAAGCAATTTCAGAGAATCACTACTATCGCAATTGTACTCGAGGAAACAGGCAGATAAGAATAATTGTCGCGCATCGCGTTGCATTTAGGATGCACATTGCGTTGCGATCGCCACATACATATTATATCGTTTTCTACACTGGAAAAAAAGTTTTGTTGTATTATAAGAAATTCTGGTTGATTCTACTAGTACGTTTGTTCAAAAATGGACGAAACAAATTTGTTGTTGGAATTACCAGAAGATTCTGTTAAATTTCATCCTGTTTAAATCTATCAGAATTTCTTGTAAACCTTACTACATCGTGTTGTTAGATTTACAAAACTCTACCAGAATTTCTTGTTAACTTTACTATATCGTTTTGTTAGGTTAATACAACTTTGCAGTTAAAAACAAGTTCGGATAGGTGTGGTTTTTGTAAAATACTAACAATATATTTTGGTTTAAAGTATACTCAGTGATGTGATGTTTCCTACCGGGCTCCCGGCTCCCGAGCCC